CTGAGAAAATGGATGAGATGTGAATGATAAGTAGGGGTTCTATACTTCTAGTTACAACTAAAAGCTTTATTTTGGATGTTTGAGTGTTCTTTTCTTGATTTATGAATTTGAGAATTACACTATGAACTCTTCAGCTTGATATAGAAATTAGCAGCTTAAAAGAAAGATCTGGCTAGAAATAAGAGGTTGTTTCAACCATGTCCTCACCCATAATTGGGCAAACACCTCTATACACTAAAAGTTCAGCCAAACCAGTGAATATGATCAGGTCATTAGCAGAAATGTAACTAAAAAGTAGTATTCTCAGATGGTCTGACTCAGTGGTTCACTGGCTACACGCTTGGCACTCCTTCGAGCATTTTCTCAAGAGTGCAGCTTAAGTTTGGCAACAGGCCTAGGTGATGGTAGTCAGCACAGTGTGAGCCTGCTGAAGCCAAATTTCTCCTCACTCTCCGTATGTCCATTTTGATTGATTGATACATCCATCCACTTTGGAGATTCGTTTCATCCACCACAAAACTGCTGTCTCTAGAAGTAAATATTTAAATCTTCTGAGTAGCTATTTGGCAACATTATGTAGTAATTTGTCACAGAAAGTACACATAAAATAATAATAATTGAAACATAGGCATTTTTACTTACAAGACAATGGCGTCTTCTTGAAGACCTAAAGTCATGTACTCTTAGATATTTCTTATTTTAAAGGATGGCGAAAAGTGCTATTAGTCCCACTGTAATTAAAAAGCAAATGGACCATCACACGAACATGACTCCGATTTTACAGGTGAGAGAACTGAGGATCTGAGAAGTTAATACTCACTTAAAGTGTCATAACAGCAAGAACTGTAACCCAAATTACCTATCCTTCTGGATGTATAGGCTACACAGCATACTGTAGAGCACTGCACGAGAGCATACACTTTGGAGCAAAACAAACCTGGGTTCACGTCCCACTCTTTCACCTGAGGCGGGTTACTTAAGCCCTTGTGGTTCATGGTGTCCACGCTACACCTGGATTGCATCTTCCACTGTCTTCCTTGCTGCAGAACACCATTTTGCTTAGTTGCCGGAGTGAGGATTTAAGAAAAGTTTTTCCTAAAGGGAAAAAATGGCTCTTCTTTTGCTAAGCATTGTCTTATTGGATGTGATTCATAAAATGTGGCAAACATTTGATCATGAAAGGGAATGAGCCTAGGATGGACTCAAGTACCAAGGATGCAGAATGGAAATATGGAAAGAACCCAGATTCTTGGCACATCTTTGAGCCATTAAGTTGACTAACACTGGAGTTGCCCTACCTCTGGAGTAACCACTATGTAAGATAGTATTTGCTTCTGTTATCTAAGGCATTCGGCGGGGTGGTGTGGTGGTGTTCTGTTTCTTCCTTCTAACTATATGGTACATTCAGCATGTCATTCTAAATGATAACCTCTGAAGATTTAATTCCTTTCTATATTAAATGAAGATCAAAATAGCTATATCATTGAGTTGTTACAAGAAGTTAATGAGATGATGTTTACAAATTATTTAGCAGGGCATTTAGTGTGGAGTTGAGTTCCAAACATGATGCTAGTATCACCCTAGACCGGTGTTTCTTTTATTGCATCACCCTGCCTTCTAGACAATTTAGAAGTGTAACCAGATGTTAAATTGGAAATTACATTTGAGGCACCAAAACACAGTAGCTATGATAGTTCAAGGTAAAGTAACAAACCAAGATGCAAAATTTCAAATATTTTAATTTTGTTTCTTTTAAAGCAGATCCATGCCTCTTGAACCACTTGCCTGTACTTAAAGTAAAAGGCTTGAGAAAGGATATTCAGGAGTATTTCCATGGAGAGAGCTGTAACCTCAGACATATAAACACCCGGGTGGGAGGAGCATTCTTCTACGGTCTCAAATCAAGAGAAGAACTTTAAGGAAACTAGTTAGCGTGCTAAATACGTGTGGCCTACAGGATGTAGCCCGGGGGAGAGGGACAGAATCAACTGGTCTGAGAAATAAAAAGGGTAAAATAGGAAATGGCTGCCTGATGCTGAGAGATGAGCTGGGTTTGACCTTCTTTGGGGAGAAGAACACATGAGTATTTCCAATGAACCAGAGTGGTCTAGCTATTAAAAAAAAAAAAATATCTGTAACTTTCCAATTGGGCCACCAGGAGGAGCGATCTGGCTTCAACAGAGAGAAGCCGAAACCACCTAAGTGGCTAAGGAAGAAGAAAGTGACAAGTCACAAAAATGCAAATTGTCCGTGTCAAGGGAACTGTGGCCCCCCAGTGATGTGGCAGAGAGGTTATCTAAAGAGCCTGCAATGGCAACCACGAAAGGAAGAGGTGTGGAGTCCCCTGCCAGCCCCAGAGAGCACAGGGCCACCCTATAACAGCACGTGGGAATACTCCACTTCCCCGGGACTGTCTCTCCCTAACCCTTGTGTGCTGCTGGCCTATTGCAGCCTTAGGTGGGAGAGAAAACTCTGCTTCCAGTGAAGATGGAACCTGTCACCATTGCAAGGCTTCAGCATTCAAAGGACTGAGTTGAGACTGTTTTGTGGCATAAAGAAACTCTAGGGCTTTTAACTTTGGGGGGCCTATCCAAGTTTTTATCTAGGAGTATGGAACAAAAAACACTACCACAATGAACAAGCTTAAGGGGAAAATAAAAATCAAAAGCGAAGTTGCTTGTATGTTTATACCTGGTGAATTCAGCTCTTTCAATGCACCAATTACACTGTTCCCTGTTATAGACTCATTATGTGCTCCACAGTAAGATAAGTGTTTCAGAGATGAGTAAAATCAGACACAATCACCGTCTCAGTGAATTATATATTGCCGGGGGTGCAGAGGATGGCTCTTATCTATCATTGCATTCATTATAACAGTTAGCACAAGGCTCTCTTTCCAAAACTTTGCAAACTATTGATGGAGGGAGGAAACGCAGTCATAAAATAATTAGAAGATCTGAATTCTAGCTAAAGTTTTGTGCTGAAGAGCAGTGAGACATGGCCTATTTACCTACCTTTCCTGATGCTTCTTTAGCATATCTGTAAGTTGAGAGGGAACGCACCGGATAAACCATGTGATACTTTCTAAGTTTAAAATTCTACAATTCTACAGCAGCATTATTCATAGTAACCAAAAGCTGGAAACAACCCAAATGTCCATTAAATGATGAATGGATAAATAAAATGTAGTATATCCATACAATGGAATATTATTGGCAATAAAAGGGAATAAAGTACTGATGCATACTATAACATGGATGAACCTCGAAAACATTATGCGAAGTGAAAGAAGCCAGACACAAAAGACCGCATGTGGTATATTTCCATTTCTACGACAATCCAAAGTAAGGAAACCCATAGACACAGAAAGTGGATTCATGGTTGCCAAGGGCTAGGAGAGCCGAGTGGGGAGGGAAAGGAGAGTGACTGATAAAGGGTGTGAAAGTTTTTTGAGAGGCGATGAAAATCTCCTAAAATTCATTGTGGTGATGGTTGTACAACTCTGTGAATATACTAAAGATCATGGAATTTATACCTTAAATCAGAGAATTGTATGTTATGTGAATTAGATTTCAATAATGCTGTTTTTTATCTATGATTTTTGTGTATAAATTAGAGGGAAAAACTCAGAGAACACATTGAATTAAGTAATATAGTAACAGCTCAGAAGAAGTGAATGTGATAAACTCATTTTCTAACAACATCCCTAACAACATCCATTAAAAGGGAAGATATCTTTGTTAACATTTTTATTTGTTGCATTTCAGTAATATACCCAATCTGGATTTAGGTATAATGCATCAGAGAATGAAAGAAAAAAAGCTCTTTGGGTCAGAAGATTAATTTTGCCATTTCTCCTTTTAACTCAAGTTCTAACAGTAAAATTGTTCTCATGATTGATGCTGTACATCATGGATAAATGAACAATTAAAATATATAGGCAATTCTTAAATTTGGTTTTTAAAAGTTGTTTTTTAGTTTTTTTAAGGTGAAAACAATGTTACCTTAATCTTCTACTAAGGAGAAAAAAAAAGGACTCGTATTGAACTCCTGCTGTGCGCTAGACTCTGTACCAACCGAGTTTACAGATACCATCGGATTTATTCCTTACAGCAACTCTTAACAAAGGTAGATTATCCCAGTAACCCAGAGGAGTAAACTGATGCTTAAAATGGGTACATTATTTGCACAAAGGTACACAATAGTACGCAGTAGATTTGGATTTAATTCTAAGTCATTAAACTTTAAGAAAATAGAATGTAGAAATTGACTTGAGTTTCAACTATTTCTGTCTTCATTTCTACAATGACTCCATACATAGCGCATCAGATTTATTATAAACTCCCCGGCCTAGCACTTGGTATCTCTGCTAATCTGGCCCTATTTCTTATTATCTTTCAGGATTTCAGTCCTAAGTTCTCAAACCCATTATGATATTTTCTTACTGTTCATCAGCTAGAATTTCCCTTTCACCTAAATAAGTTCTATCTTTCCTTAGTGGAAGGTCCTAGCTTGAAGTCAAGTTGATATCCTGACCTATCTGAACATGGTTGCTAAATGATGGGCAAGACCCTCAAGGATTAATTTTCCTGAACATTTGGGTCTAGAAGAGAGGAAGAACCAGAACAGGTGAGTCGAAGATAGTATTTGTCCCCCTTCTGGCCCCATGGACTGGTATTGAGCTCTACAAGAGAGGTCTGTAGACAGAAGCAATAAACAGCGCTTTTCTTGAGAAACCACAGGCCACAGGGCCCAAGAGTTCACCTGGATGTCCAAGTGCTACATTGTTAAAAGGGATAAGGTAGAGGCTGTTCTTCCCCTAACTATGCAGAGTGCAGCATGGGCCTGGCCCCAACAAGGCCTGCTGGAACTCAGCAACACTGTTTCAGCTTTCACCTGCAGTGGCTGCGTTTGAAACACCAGGAGGAAACACCCGCCCCTGCCCGCTGCCTCGCCCAAGAATGTGGACACAAGTGTTCTCACACAGAATGCCACTATAAGGGAGGAATGACCTCCCCTATGTGACCTCACAGGTGGCCAACATTAGCGAGAAATATGAAACGATGGACGTGAGAGACTACAGGGAGCACAGGTGAAACACGGCAGGTTCACAGAAACGTGTGACGTCGAAAGAGACCGAGTTCCCACAAGGTGAGAGGGCATAAGTCAGTCAAACTGAATTTATTATCGTCACTGTGACTCATCAGCATGCATGGGCTATAGATGACGGGAAAATTGAATTATAATTTGACTTGTCCACTCCACCAAATTTATCTGTCACGGTCCTCCATGTTCATCTCTTCTTCACCTTTTCTCTTTCTTTTGTGCAATTTTTTAAAGGTAAACATAAATTCATTGGGGCTAGTAGTCATACATGTTGCTCAAAATGCCTGGCTTCAGGATTGTTTACTCCAACCTTCAGTTTATGGTCACAGTTCACAGAAGCTAAGTTTCTTGCCTGAGTTAAATCGTATAGCTAAAGTTAGCTGGCCACTGTAATGGCATTCAGGCTCTCCTAACTGTTGGATCTTTCTTTTTCATTATTCTGCGTTCTCTTAGTTCACTATTTGTCCTGTCCACGTGGAACTGAAGTGCTAGTAAGCAGCAAAATGGCCACAAAGCAGCTAGTCTAATGGAAAAGGAAAGGTAATTCACATCGATTACCTACTACGGGTAAGAAACTATTCTAAGTAATTTGCCCATTTAACTTGCTTACTCTTTATAACAACTGTGGTATAGATGTTAATATCACTATTTTATGAATCCAGATCTGTCTGATTAAAATTCCTTGCTGAAGAAGCCACAAAGCATACCATGGGTCTTTGAATAATCAGGAGGCACTATGAACATAAATCCTTCTTGTGTCTGAGTTTCAGAGATGCGTAGATATCATCAAAGAAGTCTAAGTAGCAAAAATCTGTCAAGCGTCTCTCTGACGTGCATACTTCCCAAAGTAAACCCGATGGCTAGTAAGATTTGACTGGAGATTTTGCCAAGAGATTGGGAGGAACCCAAAAAAAGACAGTGTGAAGAATTCTTTAATTCCTTTCACATGCGCAGTTTCTGTGTTAGCAAGGGAGCAGCTTTGATCTAATGATCAGATAACCCAGGAAGTAGCTGGGAACTCTTCTAAAGATCCGTACCATCCTCAGGGCAGCACACAGGGCCTGTCTATTATTTTGATTCAAGAGAAAAGAGCAGCATGGGCTCTAGGCACTATTGAGTTCTTCAGCTTCCCATTTGAACAGGGCAGGAAGTAGCTAAAGATTAACAAAGTAAGCAAACTTGTTTGCTGTGTAAACCACCGGTAAGTTTGAGGCTAACTGCAGGAATTCTGAACCCTTAAGCTGTGTTGTGTGGTTTCCATAACAACTAATGACAGAAAATGAGGCAAACAGGCATGACTCATATGAAATGTTTCTGACCGGTTCTCAGAGGCCAAATTTGGTCATAGGGAGACCTTTGACGAATAGAGTCATCTCTGTCTTACAAATCACATTCAAAGGGCCAAGTGTTCCTCAGTAAGATCAGCTCTTTCCATGAGTGACCAAGGAGGCATATTCATTGATCTGTAGAGAACAATGAAGAGTCCCTGCTATTCACATATGGTTGCTCCCTCCGAAGACCCAACTGTCAAAGGGTATACTTTTGGGCATTGAACGTCCGAGTGTTACTGCTTGACCATAGGGTACATGGCGGCTGATGGGGGTCAGGGCCACAGCGAATTGGATGGTGAATTTTTGGGTGGGAGTCAGAGCTGCACCATGAGCCAGATTTGCTTCTATTTGATCAGTGTGGCATTGGGTGTAAGGAAGACAATGAGGGTATCTGTTCTAGAGCTTACAAGAAAGTATGAGGCTCACCATCAGTCTGCATGTCACCTCCCCACCACTCCTATCCTCTAACTGCCACAAGTCATTGCTGAGGCCACCTCTCTGGCTTCATGCCCTGCTGACCTTTTTTGCTATATCCCAAGGTCTTTGCACAGCTACTCTCTCTTTGACATATTCTTTTCCCATTCTGCCCTTCTAGCCACTTCTTCCACATGATTGATTAAGGCTTCCCTTTATGCTCATTGCCAGCATTTTCTCTTATTCTCTCCACGTCTGCTCTTGCCCCTTATCTTACCTACTTTCCACTCAGCAACCACAGTGAGATTTTTAAAATATGGATCCATTTTGCCATCCTTCTCTTTGAAACACTGACTTTTGTTTGCTATAAGAATAAAATCCAAACAGCATGAGCGTGACCTAAGGCACCGGGCTTGCTCTCTACTCCTCTAAGCGACCAAGTCACCTCTCTTGTCTCAGGGCCTTTGCACATCCAGACCCTGCACACACCCAGGCTCTTTGCACACCCAAGCCCTTCTGCCTCTTCCTCCCACTCTTCACTTGCCTGAGACATCATTTTGATCTCACTTAACAAATATCTTTCTCACTAAGGACCGATGTAATTTAGATCTCCCTTGATATTCTCTGTCATAGCACCCTGTACTTCAGACCCATTACCACATTCTGAAATGACATGTTTCTTTATATTTGTGACTAATGTTTGTTCCTACAAACCCAGCTTTATACCCATAGCCTAAGACAGTATCTGACTACATATGTACTAATATGTAAGAACTGCATGTATATTAGTTAAACTGAGTTTGCTTCATCTCATTTAAACATTAAGGGGGAGGTGTAGGAAAGTGGAGTATTTATACTCCTGGGTACCGCTTGTCCTCAGATGGAGACTACAAAAGCACACCACGCAAAAGATATCCGTTATCTCACAATATCTGGAACCTGTTGAATCACGGAGAGGCTATTCAGGGAAGGTCCATGATGCAAGCCCTTTATCATCTTATGCACACAGGAAACGGCCACACTTGTTCTGGCTAGCCCTGGTTTTGAATCATTTCCTGCTAGCTTCGGAGACGCCTTGAGTGCAGTATCAGACTTACTTGGGAGGGATCTCAGCCATGAGCAGCTTGGTGTGGCTCTGTGATGTCAGTCCTGCATTGCAGAGAGGACCTCCACGATCCCAGTGCATTTCTCAGGGAAGCCCTGGGACTGGCAATGGGTGAGTCAGTTTGAGACTGACTCCAACAGTGCCAAAGAAAGGATCTTTGAAAAATATTTTGCATGGTATCAAACTGCCTTTTTTTCCCCCCTAGAGCAATGGTAATATTACAAAAAAAGTTTAGAAGAAATTTTAATAATAGTAAAAGAAGAAAATTGAAGTATTTGGAACTTGAGAAGTTGGTTGTTTCTGTTCCAATGTCTTCAAATTTAAATCAGGACAAGGGATTGGGAGCAGGAAGGGTGGAAATTGTTGAACAAGTGCTCATTCACTCATTTATTGGAGAACGAGCCTCCGAAACAGGTGAAAGTCTCTCTATTATTTAAATAAGGAAAGTGAAGCCGAGAGGTTAAATGACTTGTCCAATGTCACAGAACTAGTGAGTGACAGAGCCAGGATGGAAATTCAGAGTGTGGGCTCATGCAGAGTCCTGTTCTGCTCTGAGTGCCATGTTCTCAGGGGGATATAGGCTTCCATTTAACCAAAAGAAACAGTTTATTTACATATCCAATATAATCAAAATGTTGAGAAATAACATGGAAATGTTTTCCTTTCTAAAATATTAAGTTAGAATAGTTGGAATAAAGTGTGCAATTCTTTTTAATGGATGACAGGCTTTAGTATATATCTTATGAAATTGACATTTTTGTAACTCAAAAGTGGTTGAATGTTGGCAATTTCGAATTGCATTTGTCTTTGGATTGTCTCTCTCTCCTGACACCACTATGTTCTATCTCTATTTTTAGCACTTAGCACAAAGCCAATTACATAGTAGAAATCCAGTAAATATTTATTGAAGGATGAAAAAAGTAAAGTTGTATTATCCAAGATGCAGACATCCTTGCATGTTGCACTTTTTACCCAGAGACATAACATTTTAATAAACTAGATAGTAGCTTTCTAAAGGCATTTTGGTGCAGAGGAAAGTATGTGTGCTTTGGAGTCACGAAGACAAGTCGATGTTTGCTTCCCATGCTTGCTAGGTGAGACCTTGGGCAAGTTGCTCCTCTGTGGTCCCAAGTTTCCTCATTTGTAAAATGGGAATGACAATAGATACCTACAAGGATTATTCTGAGGATGGGATAAGATTCCATTTCTACTGAGCCAATTTTACAGTAGGCACTCAGCAAATGTTATTCCTGGCTCATCTCCTATCTGAAATCACCGTTTAAAAATAATTTTACCACTGAATTCTTTAGAGAAAAACGTGGAGTCCTAAAAGCTTATTATTTATAACAGTGGCTTCAGCTAAGCCTTAGTGACCAAAATGATTAATAGGCAATGGAAACTTTTGAGTTATTTTCAAGGAATAATTCAAGTAAAAATATACAGGGAAGCAATGTTTCTCAAGTGTGAATTGTATGAATATCTTAATATACTAATACAGCATAGTAATGTCAAGAAATTCAAGAAAATAGAAATTCTACTTGCTTTCTTTGTGGGAGAGGTATCTTTGTAATAAGAAATTCTATTTTAATCCTGTGGAATGGTAAACTTCCTGTGTTCTAAGTTCATTATCATTGCTCCGCCCTGTGAAGATGATAATGGTCAGCAAAACAGAGCTATTTTGGTACCAAGTAAGGCTGCAAAATCTTCCTCATCAGCAAAATTGAAGGGCGAGGCAAGCAAAAAGCTTTTATGTTTGCAATTAAGTGACTTTTTTGATATTTAATGGAAAAAAAACAAAGCCTTTTGTTGATCTAAAACAATCTGATATTTTAGGGGAAAAGAGAATTCACATGGAAAAATGTCTTAGATTTTGTTTTCTTGCTATATCTGAAGATACATTCAGAGAAAAAATATATTTAATGTGTATTCACTATGGGGGAAGATTTTCAGATTATTTTGGCCCTTCTTTTCTTGAATGGAAATGCCTGGAATATTGTTTGTTTGTTTGTTTTTACTTTAGGCCAGAGAAATGAAGATCTTAATATGGCTTTAATTACTTGATTTTCTAGGGGTTAACATTGTGATTATTCACAGAGCTGAAATTCAGTACCTTCTGTCTCTGTTCATTTAGCACTCAACAAATATTTATTGATTTTTTACTATGTGCAAGGCAGAAGCCTGGGCTTTGTGGACTCGGTGTCCTACAAGAAAGAAAATGTCTTGCCCAAGGGGTTAACCTCCATAATATATAAAGAACTCACACAACTGAACAACAAAAAAATAATCTGATCAAAAAGTGAGCAGAGGATATGAACAGACATTTCTCCAAAGAAGATATATAGATGGTCAATAGGCACATGAAAAGATGCTCAACATCACTAATCATCAGGGAAATGCAAATCAAAACTACACTAAGATACCACCTAACACCCAATAAAATGGCTATAATCCCCAAGACAAAAAATAACAAATGTTGTAGAGGGTGTGGAGAAAAGGGAACCCTTATACACTGCTGGTGGGAATGCAAGCTGGTGCAACCACTGTGAAAAACAGTATGGAGATTCCTCAAAAAATCAAAAATAGCTATCCCATTACTATGTATTTATCCAAAGAACTTGAAATCAGCAATTCAAAGAGACCTATGCACCCTTATGTTCATTGCAGCGTTATTCACAACAACCAAGACATGGAAGCAACCTAAGTGCCCATCGACTGAT